GACGAACCCAGGCACAAGCTGGGTTTGTTGCCAACCCAGTCTTGCGAGCTGGGTTCATCTTGGGTTCGCAAAGAAGATGAGGATAGAAATGGGAAATGAAAAGATAAAGGGAAACGATGATTTTTTTTTCTTTTAATTATTTTAAGACCTATTGATTATATGGAAAATAAATCTGATTGCCAACTCATCAATTTTACCACGTGTAATCCTATGTCACCATTAAAAAGAAAAAAAAAAGACATTTAACGGATAATTGTGCCATGCTGTCACTTAACTGACAGAAGGACTAAAAAGGGGCCGGATTTCAAACAGTAAGGATCAAAAAGGGGATTTTTTCGGTATAGGAACTAAAAAGAGGCTTTTTCCTATAGTAGAGGGACCAAAAAGGGTATTTAACCAAAGAATATCAAAGGAAAGGGAAAAGAGACAAAGAGGGGGAATCAATTGAGGGGGTTGAAAGATAGATAGAGGAGGCAAGGAGGAAAGGGGAACAGTAACCTTCTACCAACTACCACCATTCCCTCTAGCATTTCAAGTTGGGGGGTTTTTTTTTGTTTTCTAAGGGAAGGGTTTTCAAGGTTAACATAAATTATTTTACAAATTTTAATATTGTTTGTTTCAATGCATATTCTTATATAAATTATTTTATAGTTACATGCTAGGAGCCATTTGAAAATGAAACACCAACATTGAAATATTTTTTGCATTTAGACCGCTTAGTCATTGCACAAGAGCAATTGGATGTGAAAGGAATTAGAGTTACTTTGAATTTATTCATTCTAATGAAAAGAATAAGTTAGAGCACAAAAAGTTGAATGACCTTGTATTTCCTTAACAATTTAAAGCTTCAAGAAAAGAATATTGTTACTACTTGTTTTGCTTATTTGTTCTATAACAAGTATTACGTTTTATATAGACATACATAGATATATATATTATGTTGAATGATGGATTATGCAATAGAAAAAAGCCTTCCTCAATTCCTAAACCTCTCTCCATCCATCCCAAGATTTGAATTTGAGATCTTTAATATGAAATCAAGTTCATAACCATTAAGTCGTCCTTTAAGACATTACATTTTTATATCGAACAAGTGTATATCAATTATGATTTTTATTTGTTTATAGAATTATTAATACGGAAAATAAGCATTGGATCCTCTTAATTTTGAAAATACTGACATATTAAATGGATGGCTTAAGACCATCTTTTCATTATAAAAAGCATTATGATTAGAATTGAGAAGTTTTTTTATGTAAGGCATATTAGTTGATTTTTTTTTTTTTTTTGTGAAATATGACATTGTAAGTTTATAATTCTATTTGATATTATCACTATAGAATTTTCAAAAAGGATTATGATTTGAATTAAGAAGCTATTAATGACCTTTAACAAATCTAAACATTGATAATACATTTAAATAGAAATGATTATTATAATATTATTATAATTATCCTCTTGAGATTTATTACAAGATCCAGCTCTTCAAACATAAAAAAATGATAAAAGAAAAAAAAACTATACTTACTAAGTTACCATATGGTACTTTCTCAATTTATTTTTAGTAGTATTATTTTGACTTTTAACTTTTTAGGCATAAATTTTAAATAAAAATTTAATAACTTTTATAAATAAAGGATTTATTTATTACAATCTACATTATATATTAAAAGTGCAATCTGTTTTATGAAATTATTAAAATACCTTTAGTGAAATAGCATCAAAAATAGTTTCATTAAAAGTATTTTAGTAAAGTTATAGAGTGAATTGCATTTTTAATGTAAGTCTGCTTTGTAAAACACCTCTTTGTATGAACAATAATAAACACCTTTTTATATGAATAATAATTGAAAAGTTGTTTTCTTGTTCATACAAAAAAAAAAAAATTGTTTTTTTTATATAAAGCTCTTGTTGAATATTTTATTTGATAAAAAATTTAATTATCATTTATATAAAAAAAATTAAACTCAAATTACTAAAAATGAACAGAAAGAATATAAAAAATCAAAAAAAATATTTTCTGTTTGGATTATAATCCAATTATAAAATAGTAACTATTAAATATTAAATAAAAAAGATACCTAATAATAAATACAAACCTCTACATTTTATAAGTTGTATTTTATTATTTGTACCGTAGCACTGAACTCTGTTGGCAGAGGTTTGAGTATTTCTTTGTTAATGATAGTTTACAGACAATATAAAGAGTGTTTGGTATAACTTAAAAAGCACTATTCATTTATCACAAATTTAAAATTTTATTAAATAAATATTTAAAAAGTATCCTTTAAAATGAGTTTTAAATAAGTTTTATAAAAACTTAAATGTGTAATTTTTTTTCAAAATTTACTTAAAAAACTAATTTTAAGCTTTTCTTTTAAAAAAATTTTAAATTTGTAAAAAAGAAAACAAATACTTTTAAGGCAAGTGCCTTTTTAAAGTTTCTTAAACACCCTTACGTTGGACAAAAAGTATAAAATTCCCTTTAAAATTGTTGTATGAAAATAAATTCTCACTTAAAAAATATTAATATAATTTATCACTTTAAATTTTTATTTTTAAGAAATTAATTGAAATTTAACTGTTATTAATAATTTTTTTATTAGATTTTATAATAAAAGTTAAACAAAATTTAACAATAACCATTAAATTTAAATTAATTTTTTAAAAAATAAAAATTTAAAATGATAAATTACATCTATATTTTTTTTCATATAATGATTTATTTTAATGTAATAATTTTAAAAGAAATTTACGCATTAAGCCCTCTTGTGATTCGTGGACCACCATTAGCAAAGAAATAATCAGATCTTTACCAGATAATAATAATAATTTTAAAAGAAATTTACGCATTAAGCCCTCTTGTGATTCGTGGACCACCATTAGCAAAGAAATAATCAGATCTTTAACAGATAATAATAATAATAATAATAATAAAATCCATTTCCTCCGTATGGCAATGCCGACAGCTGATTCAAACATTTACAGCTCATGCCTATTCATATGGTTTATTAAAATAATTGCAAAATAAATCTCAGAATCTCGTTCTGCATATCAAACAAAAAGCATTAAATTTAGAGCAATACTAGGGGCACTCGCTTTTCGCACTCTTCGGTGAACACTTTCTCTTTTATTGGGCCACGTTATCTTGGTTCCCGAGAAGTTGCACTGAAAGCTTTAAAGCAGCTTACGTGGCCCAATGAAAGGGGAAGTGTTGGCTGGAGAGTGCGAGAAGCGAGTGCCACTAGCATTGCTCTTAAATTTATCGAATGTTCCACTCCGACCAATGATATTGGATACTAAATTAAAACCGTTTAGCTTTTGTAAGTTGTACTTAATTCTTATGGAAATTTCTCTTACGTTTTTAATTAATATATAAATAATCATAATCTGTTAAACAAACATTACAATTATGATCCAAACCTTTTAACCCGTGACATTAATCCTAAATTAATAAAATTTCGTGAGTTATAATTTCAAACCTTACATATGCATTTTCTTATATCCTCTTACCCCCTCCCTCGATTATAATTATGTTAAAAAAAAAAACATTAAATTTATGGTGCTTTGTTACACTATACAATATTACAAACAAATAATTATTGAGAAAATTAAAAACAAATGAAAGCAACCCATCTGGGTGGGCCCACTTATTACTTTTTTTCATTTTCACTCATCAGAAATCGTGAGAAGAAAAACAAAAAGAAAATAAGAAAAAAGAAAAAAAAAGGCAAAACGGTTTGAATCACCACGTGACTGCTCACATAAACAGTACTCCAAAGCACATACTGAAAACCACCGTCACCCATCTCCCACCGTTCATCAATCCACCGACCCCGTTATTATCAGCCGTCTGATCTGCCACGTCATCACCCGAAGGTGCATCGGCATCGTCCGCTGGTGCAGCCGCCGCCTTCTTAGACTTAGCCTTACTCTTCTTTGTGGGTGTCGGTGCTGGTGCGGGTGCCTCTACTTCCGCCTTGAACAGCTCCCTCGGTAACAACATCTTGTCGATCTTAAACACCACCAACGGCTCCTCATCTTTCAATGTCCCGACAATCTTTGCCGTCACGACCTTTGTCTTCAGGGTAACATCCTCACCGTCGTTTTGGATGGTTAAATCGTATTTATTTGCGCCGTCGGTGGCCAGGGTATTAACGACCCCGTTGCTCGATTTCAACGTTTGCAGTGATTGGTAAATCGGAAGGCCGTGGAAAAGCAGCAGGGACACCTTCTGGGCCGCTGTTAAATTCTTGTATTTGGGCATGAAACTGTTGACGACACTGTCGATCGGGCAAAACACGGTTAAACCACCGTCAATGTTCTCCTTGAACGTCGATTCGGCCCCTGAGGATTCCAACAAATCGGCAAATGCTTTGCATCCTTGGTTCCGCATGATTTCGGTTAAATTAAGGCTGCTCGGCGCCGCTGTCGGTGCTTCAGCTTCGGCGGAATTCAATGGCTGACTGATTTGCAGAACGGCAATTTTGTAAGGAAGCTCTTCGAGGGATTTCACGTAAGTGGCATCGAGCTTACCGTTGTTATCCTCCGCCCCAAATCCCACTTTTCCTCCTTTTAGATCCGTGATATTGACGTAGCCGGAGGTGCCCGAAGCAGTACCGGTGGCCTGGAACATGGAGGCGGTTAGTGTAGATCCATCAGTAATCTGGTGAAGCTTCCTAGAGCCGAAGTAATCTACGAGGACGTGGAGGGAGAGAACATTCTTTAGAGTGTAGAGGGAGAGCTGTTTGCTGAGGATAGATGACATGGCAGCATTGTTGAGGGCGAGAACAGTAATGGTGTTGCGACGGTTGATCTCATCGGCAAGGTGGGTGGTGGTGAGGTAATGGTTGAAGGTGGAGAATTCAGGGTGTTTTGCGAGGATGCGGGTGATGTTGAAAGCATTGATGGTGGTAAGGGATGTGGACAAGAGGAGGAGGAGGAGGAAGAGGGGGAGAGAGACGGTGGCGGTAGGGAGCGCCATATTTTAAGGGGACTGAAATTGAAGAGTGAAAGCTGTGGTAAGTGTATAAGTAGAGCGTGATATGAGCTGGGATGTTTGTGGAGTTTTATGCTGGGTGGACTTTGCCAGCTTGGCAATTAGTGGAATATAAGCCCCATGTGGGTCCTAACCGTCTCTTTCAAGTTTTAACTGCCACGATACCTTTCTTTTCTTCGATTATTTCAGCTATCGATATCTTTCGCGTGGGTTGGAATTTACTTTTATGGGATTGCAATTTTTAGATTTATCTGCCAGAGTCCATCAAAGGTAAGTAGTTCGATGATAATATTATTTTAATAAAGTGATTATATTCTTTTAGTAAAGTAAGATGAATTGAGTTATAATTACATCGTGTATATGAGTGTAATAAATTAAGAAATAAAAAAGATTATTTTTTATTATATAATTTAAAAGAATTATTTTTTAAGAAAAAATAAAATATTTATAAGTTTAATTAAATTTTTTTAATAAATTAACATAAAAATATCTATTAAAAATATTTAAATAATTCTATAAATGTTTTTACATATTTTTTATGTAAGTTTACTTGAAAACCACTTTTACTTTTATCACATTTGATTTCAGAACAGAAATGTAGGCCAAAGTGAACAAATATACTCACAATCACAAAATGAGGTGACAGAAGTCACAGAACAGATCCAATAGGCTGTTCCACTGAATGCAGGAGTCAGGTAAATAGTAATACTGTTTTCTTATGGGAATAAAATTTTGTAACCTTCACGTTCAAGAATTCACAATTGTGTAATTGTTCTTGGTGCATCAAGACTTACTTGGCATAATTTTTGCATGTTTAAATCTTGATTTTGATTTTGGAATAAAATTTTTAAAGTTAGTAGATATCAATTTAGTTATACAATTTTGTTAATAAAGGTATCAGTTTTTGCATGGTCCTAATTAATCCAATCAAAAGTTGGATATTCATGTGAATAGTGCCGGTATATATAGATTTTGGATAATTTTTTTTTACATAATATTCATATGAGATATATATACATATATAAAACCAATTGTAGTATGTTTTGGAGTTTTATAAATAGCTACTAGTTATTGACTTTAATAAAATGAATAAGATTATAAACAATAATTATTTTTAATTATTATTTTTTATGTTAAATAATTGTTGTTTTTTGACTTTTTCTTTAAATTAAGGATTTGAAAACAATTCATATATTTACTTATATTACTCTTAAAAAAATAATAAAGTATGACTTTTTGAGATAGGATAAATAATCAAAATAAATAGATAATAATAGTATGACTAGTAAAAAAATATTTATCTATCCTAAAAAAAATTTAAAAAAAGGACAAATAATTTGCGATAAAAGCAAAGTAAAAAATGATAATTATTTTAAAATAGAGAGTAAGAATCAAAAACTCTCTTTGTTGCAAAATAACTATTATTTTTTTTT